TATTGTGTTATATTATAATATGCTCAGGTAGAAGAAAATGTTAATTACCTGCTGTGTAATCTTCCATTGTCTCCTTTAAAATACTTCTATTTTCATTAATGACTATTAAAAGCAATCCAGAACCTACGCCTAAATACTATCCAAATTCAGGGCATTCAGAACTAGATTTGAATGCTACCAAGATTCACTATTCGTGATTTAGCTTGCTGCCACCAGGCTCTGCAGAAAACAGAGCAACAACTCATTATACTGTTTTGAGAGCTCTTACACAGTGGGAAGAGACTCAGCAGTATACACACACACGTCAGAGATGGAAAAGACCCCCACCACATTATCCAGTCCTTCTCTTGGGGCCAATGTAAAGAATGTGCTCTCCAGCATGTTTGCTAGTTGTTTGTAGTGCTTACTTTCAAAAGTCCCCAGAGATGGAGCTGCCCCACCTTCTCCCTGAGGGGCTGTTCCACAGTCCCATTCATTTGGCTGTCAGGAAAGGGTTTTTAGCGTCAAGTGCTATTCTGCTCTCAAAAGTGACTATATAAAAGAGAACCTTTTAATTTCACATACATATTCCCTGGGTATCAGAATTGCATCTATTTATTTCAGTGACTCAGACACACTTGTACTATTTCTATTCCTGTTACCTCTGCAGAACAAATACAGTTCAGAGGCAAGAAGTTGGCTTCTATTCCCTGTTGTACGTGGCCAGTCGAGTTGGTCTCTCAGTCTATGTACTTACAGTGGTGCAACTGCATAGATGAAAATAAAGCAGCCCAACTCTTCCTTAAAGCCCATTTCAAATGGTTGGGCCTCAATTATATGTGATAATATGGTTAAAAAAAAAAAAGAGACCGCTCTGACTCAGATTGCAGAAGGAGTTTGCAGCACTGGTATGAAGAAATAAGCAAGCACCTTTTTATTTTTAAACTGTGCCCAGTAAGTACTAGTCATTAAAACGCAAGTACTTTACTGAAAGTACACTACAGCTCCTGAGAATTTTTGTGCAATGAATTGTTTCACCCATACTGAACAGTCACAGTACACTTTCAGACAAACCATAGTGTACAGTCCCCTCATTGTGTCATTTTGGACCTACACAGCGACTCAGTCCAATTCTTCCCACACTATTTATCTTCTAAAGTTTATGCATGACCTTTAATTTTCTTCATCATGTTTTTGCAAGAAATAGAAACAATGAAATAACTGGATAGTTCTCGGCAACTTAAAAAAGGTTGTGCTTTGAGTAGCAAATCTTATCTTTGAACTAACTTAACGTAAGGACACTTGGTTCTTCATAAATTATAACAAAATGACCAGATTTCACTCAAGACAGATTTTGCAATCTGATCACAGGGGCAATGTATTTAGCTATGCCAGTACACCAGAACTGCCATAACCAGTGCTGTGAACGCTGCTCCTGGCTGTCCTGGGTGATCCAAGTGGTTTCCCTCCTTCTCTCATTACAGAAACACCCCAACTTTTTGTTATTATGGTCTGTAAGTAATACTTTTCATTCTCCCCTTCCCCCTTTTTCATGGATGACAGATTCAATTCAGTCAGACAAGATCTCAGACACTGCACAAAAGGAATGAACTCATCTAGCATGCCTGGTGCCTCCCAATGTTTCAATCCACTGAAGGAGTTATAAATAAAATCTCCACAGGATAAGAACATAGGTGCAGGAGGAAAAAGGAAAGGTGTTAAAAGAATGCTGGACCATTTCACTGCACTGAATCAGGACAAAGGATGAGTGCGACTACAGAAACAAAATCTGCAATGATTTTCCTTGTGGCTTTTCCTGTGTTTCCTTCTGAAAGTAACCCCCTCCCCAAGAGTTACTTACGTCTGTGGAGCTGGGGCTAGGCAGGGACACAGGCTGAACAGCTGCGGGAAAAGTAAATGTGGTCTCTGTCTTTTCATTTTCGGGGGAGTCAGGATAACTGGACAGAGGGGACGTGGGGGTCAAAGCCCCGAACCCCAGCACCGTGTTGTATTTAGGTGGACGACCTACATATTAACAACAGGGAACACAAAAAAAGAAAAAAAAAAAAAGAAAGGAAAAATGATCTTACATACCTTTGGCCAGTGGTCCTCATTGGCTAGCGTGAAAAAGGAAACGATGCAGCACAGAGAGGAAGTTAATATAAAAGTTACAAGTGGAAGGACAGAAGCAAAGATTTAAACATTTTTTAGAAATCTTTAAGTAGAATTTTGCAAGGAAAGAACATTTAAAAGATGTATTTCAGAAGGAAATAGAAATAAGCTCTACAGAGAGTCAAAGAATCAATTATAACAAAATGACCAGATTTCACTCAAGACAGATTTTGCAATCTGATCACAGGGGCAATGTATTTAGCTATGCCAGTACACCAGAACTGCCATAACCAGTGCTGTGAACGCTGCTCCTGGCTGTCCTGGGTGATCCAAGTGGTTTCCCTCCTTCTCTCATTACAGAAACACCCCAACTTTTTGTTATTATGGTCTGTAAGTAATACTTTTCATTCTCCCCTTCCCCCTTTTTCATGGATGACAGATTCAATTCAGTCAGACAAGATCTCAGACACTGCACAAAAGGAATGAACTCATCTAGCATGCCTGGTGCCTCCCAATGTTTCAATCCACTGAAGGAGTTATAAATAAAATCTCCACAGGATAAGAACATAGGTGCAGGAGGAAAAAGGAAAGGTGTTAAAAGAATGCTGGACCATTTCACTGCACTGAATCAGGACAAAGGATGAGTGCGACTACAGAAACAAAATCTGCAATGATTTTCCTTGTGGCTTTTCCTGTGTTTCCTTCTGAAAGTAACCCCCTCCCCAAGAGTTACTTACGTCTGTGGAGCTGGGGCTAGGCAGGGACACAGGCTGAACAGCTGCGGGAAAAGTAAATGTGGTCTCTGTCTTTTCATTTTCGGGGGAGTCAGGATAACTGGACAGAGGGGACGTGGGGGTCAAAGCCCCGAACCCCAGCACCGTGTTGTATTTAGGTGGACGACCTACATATTAACAACAGGGAACACAAAAAAAGAAAAAAAAAAAAAGAAAGGAAAAATGATCTTACATACCTTTGGCCAGTGGTCCTCATTGGCTAGCGTGAAAAAGGAAACGATGCAGCACAGAGAGGAAGTTAATATAAAAGTTACAAGTGGAAGGACAGAAGCAAAGATTTAAACATTTTTTAGAAATCTTTAAGTAGAATTTTGCAAGGAAAGAACATTTAAAAGATGTATTTCAGAAGGAAATAGAAATAAGCTCTACAGAGAGTCAAAGAATCACTCCCACAAAAGCAGCGTAGGGACGCTTGCCACTCCTAAGAATGAGGCTATTCAGTTTTTAGGGAAAACATGTTGGCATCAAAGCTAGAGAGAAGCTACAGTAACTAGTATTAAATCCTTTCTACTGTTATCCCACACCTCCCTATCTTTCTAGTGCCAGCAAAAATCTACACAAAGGTTAAGTACTTTATCAGAGGCCAACACTCACCAACCCCCTCCTTTTCTTCCCCTTTTTTTAAACCCACTCACCCACAGATCAGCACTTTCTACCCTGCTGGTATATTTTTTAAATTAGGCTACCTCAAGAACAGGTCCCGTTGTCTGACCCATAACACCAGCACTACCAGTTGCAACCTACCGCTGGTCTTCCACTGTAACCCTCCTCAAATTCTGTATTCTTTCTTAGACTTTCTCAGTCAAGTATGTTCGATTATGCGCAACTCCTATATGCTCCTTTAGACCAGCAGAAGTGCAAAATGTGTTCGTAACGATTTTCATAAAATTACGTATGCAAAGCAAGACAGCAAAAAACCAGAATGTAACCATCATTTCTGCCTCCCTTCTCCAGGGTAATTTATGGATATGTAAACATAAAGGAGTTAGGATCTAGGAATAATTCCCCAGATCTTATGTTTACAGATTGTCAGTCTATACCTATTAACATGCTAAACCTTGCATTTAAGGTCTGGATATGTTCCAGAACTAAGTATGTCCTTGGAAACGGATTTCTGATAGTGATGTCCATGGCTGAAATTTCTGACATGCTCAGCACCATCTAGAATTAAACTAAAGCTCTCAGGGGCACATGCTTGCATACTCTTTTCACCTAATATATTGCTATACTAAATCACAAAACAAATGTATACATCCAAATCTTTTGTCAATTGAAAATGTGTGCTACTAATTTGGTGCTGATGCAAGGTACAGGCTTACAACTGCGTGTGAGGAAAAAAAGAAAGTATAATAGCAGTCAGTGTGCAAAAACAGGCTAAGAGAGTATCAAGTACAAAAGCATGCAATTGTTTTCATTGATACAGTAATTGTTCACAATGAGTTACAAAATAGAATTAAGAAATCATTACTAGAAGAAGGAACATTTACTTATCCACGGAGTAAATGCAAAACTCTCTCTCTATAAAATCTACATCATGTAATTTTAAAAAATACATTTAATGTTATTAGAGGATGGTGGTAGAGACTGTCTTTTATTTAGAAACAGCATAGCTGCAGAAGTGTCAGCTTTGCCACATTGCCTGCTGGACTGAAGAGGTATATCAAGGAGAGCACATATCAAATGAGTATTTGACCTTGCAGCCAAAAAACAAAGATAATGGAACCAACTAGTGCTATGTAGGACTGCGGTTTTCTTAATCTGATTGATTACTTTTTTTTTTAGACAGCAAACTCAGGAGTAGAGAAGGTATTACAAGTCTTTAAGGACTGCAGAAAATCATCAAAAATCAGGGAAAGATTGTCATATATGGGTGGTTGATGCCATGCACAAAAAATGGTATCACGTTCTCTCCTATGCTGTTCTGACTCATCTGTTGTCACCATAATCTAAGTCTCAAAATTTCACCTGTTTTACAGAAGGATTTCTACTGAATAATACCGCATACCTATATGAAAGATCACCTCTCATTTTAGGACAAGTGGCACTCTGGTTGCAGAAAAGTGCTCAGTATGAGCACGATAGCCTTTCCTGCTCAAGATAAATTCTTTTGAAGGACCCATCTCTATTCCCAGTGGGAAACAAGGCTTTTGTCACACTAAGTTTCCTCTCCTATTCAGGGCATAGACACTTTTTCCATAACCACCTTCCTCTTGACAGTAACAATACAATTTAGTTATTAACAAGAGGATCTTGACAGCAGCTTTATACCACTAAATGATGTTCAAACATCTCACCTTTCACTTTGCTCTACCTATTGTTTTTTGGTTTTTTTTTTTTTGAGAGTGAAACTGAAATGAAACATTGAGCTGCCTAATAAAACCTGCTATGCTAATCCCTAGGAGTCATGACCTTTGTCTACCATGGAAATTTACTGGACAAATGAAGTACTGTAGAGTCCTTCTTTGTTTTGCTCTTCAAATCAACAAGGGGACTGCAAATGCAAGATGGAGGAAGAGACATATAGCAGGGAGACAGGTCTAAGTATACCTCACCTCTTTTACGTGTCCCGGGATGCATTGTGCTGTTCAAGTACGTGACTGCACTCTTCTTGCGCTGCAGGGAAGAATATAACAATTTTTGTTGGCTAACATTTTTGGCAACAACTATATGCACTAGCTGAGGAACAGCACAGTAGTACTAAGTGAGATTACTGGCTGTTCTGTTTTCTGAAGCATAGCTTCAGAAAGGTTAGGTTTTTTACACTACTTCTGACATCTGGACTGCTTCAGGCTGATACACAAGCTGACCTAATGGTACACAGACTGCCATTTAGCGTCAGCTTTACATAGGAGAAGGCAGGAAAAGACGTAAGTATTAGAAGAAAACCCCAATGTATTTACTCTTTAAAAATCTGAGGGTGACATCATTGCAATGGCCTTTTGAATTATAAATAATAGCTTGCCTGTCTAGTTAGAACTGAGATAGCTTAGGAGGTAGCAACATGGCAGAAAGACACACAAGCTCAGAATGAAAATAACAGCTTCCCCTAGCAAAAAATTAATACCTCAGGCTCAAAAACGGCTCCACTGTACACTGGATTTGCTGTTGTTCTTCTTTTCCTCTCTTGTCGCTTACTTTGGATTTCTTGTAAAACAAAGCATTCAGGTTAGAAAACAATGGGTCTCAAATTATCTAAAGTCCTCAGAATTCAGTTTGCATGTGAGGAGAGCTGTGAAGATTTTTACAGAACACCAATCATGCTGAATATAGGCAACTTTGTTATACTTCTAATTTCTGAAGGTTTGAAAACTAAGACCTGAGAAGGAATACAAATACAGTGCTCAACTAACTCATGAAATGACTGCCATTTTCTTGCCAAGTACTCCATGACTAAGACATTTTAAATTCATGGTCAGTGTAATTGAGATCTAAAACGAAAAGCCTCTGGTAACCTTATTGATACTTAAAAATAAATACAGTACAGAAATTTGTATAGGATTAAGGAGTTTAAATTATAAAACCCAATTATAATCTATTAACTCATTCACTACAGACTACAGTCTCATGAAATCATGAAATAAATGGAAAATCCAGATGTGGGTTACAGTAAAATTATCCATGGTGTAACTTTGCAGATACAGGAGTTGTGCAGAAAGCAATGGGATTGTCACAAATGTCTTTCCTACCATCAGAGCATACACTTTCTTCCCAACCACTGATCTTAACTGCATAAGCAACTGCTTTGTTTCAATGTAATAAGAGGAATAAAAAAGTATGCACAACAAGCTAAGTTAGATCAAGAGCACAGACATCCCAAATGTACTTTTGTGCAAGAAAATACTGCATTTAATACAGAAATATTTTGGACCTGTACTTCCAATTCAGAATGGCCATGAAACAGAGAGCTCAAGAACCAACTTAAGACATTTTTCCTACCTTCCAGATGGTCATGAGTAACTAGTCCCAGAGACACCATGAAGGCAAGTTTCTGTGAGGGGGGAGAAAAAAAGATCATGACAAGTCCAATCGTTAGGATGAGCTATGCCACTTAGGCCCTTTAAAGTCAGTTGACAGGTAACTAAGCAACAAAAATGTTATTAGTAATACTTTGCTTCTATAAATTACTTTTCATCCATATATGTTGAACTGCTTTACAGAGGATAGACAATGGTTCCATTTTCTAGATGGGAACCTAGGCTGAGATACAGGAAAATGCCAGTTGCTTATGATCACAGAGTTGGCAGAGCTGTGAACAAGAAAGCAGTTTCTTTACTTCCAGTCCAGCATTGAACAGACTATGTGATTGGCTCTTAGTAAATACCAACACAGTTCAATTGCCAGCAAAATATTGCTAGTTGAAGATCATTCTCCATATATTGGAAACTACACGGAGCAACTCTGGTTTACATTTGCCATTCGATAAGGGCTATGGCTTTCTTAAAGGATTCTAATTTTAATGCAGGAAGTGCACAGACATGTAAAAATCAGAATTTGTACTGACAACAGTTAATGCTCACACAGTAGCCAGTTTGAATCCATCTACAAAAAAGGTAGCAGAGCATTTAGCTGTAATCAGTTCCAAAGCTCTGCATAGCAGAAAGGCTTTAAGAAATAGCCT